TACCTATCCCTATTACCCTGGTTACCCCAGTACCAATCCATCTCATCTGGGGTTGGGTCTTCCTCTCCTGTGCTGTTCCCCTATCCTTCCAAGCATGATGTCCTTCTCCAAGAACTGCTTCCTCCTGGCCACATGCCCAAAGTATGTGAGATGGAGCCTCAAAATCTAGCCTCCAAGGAGAAACTTGGTTTCATTCACCCTTTCCAAGACAGACCTATTTGTTTTCTTGGCAATCCATGATATGTTCAATACTCTTCCCCAGCACCGCAACTCAAAGGTATCAATTCTTATTCTGTCATCCTTAGTCATTGTCCAGCTCACTGATGCATAGAAAGTAATTGGGAAGACCATGGCCAGGATCAAGTGCACTTTAGTCTCTAGACTGACATTGTTGCTTCCGAGTACTCTGGAGAGGTCCTTGTCAGCAGATTTTCCCAGTGCAATTTGTCTTTTGATTTCTTGACTACTAGTGCCAAAAGTGTTGATTATGGAGCCAAGAAAGCTGTAATTGTCAACAATGTCAGTCTCTTCTCCATCTATCATGGTGCTAATTGGCCCAGTGGTGAGAATGTTTGTCTTCTTGATGTTAAGCTTCAATCCATATTAAAGACTACAGTTAACCAGACCTTAACTCAGAGCTTCCTAAATCATGTGCCACACATGGGTTACAAGTGTAACTTTGAGTTATTGTTATCCTCAACAGTTAAACTGACCTGATTAGGTCTGAGTTGGCTGGAACACTTGACAACTCACCATCACACATTCTTATGTATGGGGTCCCTCAGATGATGGTGTAGAGGGAGCAAAGTCTGACAAGCTATCCTTTGGTCCCCTAGAGCAGAGAGCTCCACTTTCCAGCACAACACACCATGTCTAGCTAAGGAGGTTCCTCACCATCTTCCTTAGCAGCCAGCCATAGAGTATATCATTGCTCATATGTACAGGTGACCCAGGTATGTCCAGTTTATGTTTCAGGTGCCCAGGAAGCAAGGGACAAGCCATAGGGTGAATAGTCAAGGGTATAATGTGGGGTGACCAGATAGTTGTTCCTAGTGGGAGAACCAAACCTTTGTCTTCACATTTTTCACATATTTTGGCTGGTATGCTCTTAAGAGTGTTCAGGTTCACTGCTGGCTGGTTAATTCCCTTCACAACACATGCATGTTCTGCAAGTTTAGATTGTCATTGTTTTGAAATTCTATATGGGAAAAGCCTAATTGAATGAAAAATCCGTATTTATCACATTGATAGTAAATGTTTTCTTTATCATTAAATAAAGAGCTGGAGAAATAGTTTTAATTTTACCTATTCTGTATTTTTGATGCATTAACTCTCTTCCAGGCTCAAGAGTCCACATCCACCCAGCTGACATTGAGACTCAGGAGAGACACTCACCCTTATTCTATTTTTGATAGTTGTAAAAATGTCTTAGATGTGTTAGTTTATGTTTTGTAATGTTTCTCATTAATGATGGTTTGTTTGTTTTTAACATTTGTAAAAATCACCCTTAGAAAGTTTTCATTTTTAAAAAAATTTTATAATGGTTTACTTACAAAATTTTTAAAATTTTTTTGACATACAATTGAGCAAAAAAGTTATGTTGTTAAACTTAAGCTTAAGTTTCTTATTAAAAAGCTAACAAAGAGTTTATATGTTTTAAACTTACACAGAATAAAAAAACCTCATTTATATAGTTTATACAACCTTAATATTTAATATATATCCTAATAACCTGAAGAGTACTCTAGTGCCTTAGTAGGTAAGGAGTTGCACTGGCAACCCAAAGGCAGGCAGTTTGAATTCACCCCAGATGCTCTGCAAGAGAAAGGTAGGCAGTCTCCTCTTGTGTGATTTACAGCCTCTGAAAACCTACTGGAGGGTTTTCAACTGGAGTTGATTCCAATTCAAGGGCACATAACAATAACAACAATAATTTGAACATTTTTTTCTTATTATAATGGTATAAAGTTGACAGTGAGACTGGCACAGGACAGAGCAGGGTTTAGGGCTGTTGTACATAGGGTCGCTATGAGTCGTAGGCAACTAGACAGTACATAACAACAACAACAACAATAACAACAGATAATAAATAAATTACCTTTCCCTCAAAGTCTTCTAGTTTATCCCACTAAACTAGATGGAATATTCCTCCCCCTCCTCCTGTGTGTGCCATGAATTGAAAAAGTTGGGCATCAGTGTCAAAATTCTCTGTCCTTCTTGCACTCTGTCCCACCTCTACACACAATACACACCTGCAGCCGGCCATGTCTTGGTGCTCCCTTGCTTTTTCAGTACCTTGTTCTACTTGTATATACTTTTATGTGCCATTAACTTAGTTTGATTGTTCCCTACGTTCATATTTTTTCTTCCCAATAAGCTTGTAAGTTCTTTAGATGCAGCATCTTCTGATTTACTACTTTTGAATAATTCAGATTTTTTAAAGCTCTCAATAATAATTACAGGATCCAAAACTAATTTATCTATAATTATGGAGTGGAATTTGTTTTCTTTCTAATCTTTCTATAAGGGAGCAAATATAGATTCATTTTTTTTCTATCAATTATACATCTATCTTTAAACATCTGCCTGCTTTCTTTTCTTTCTTTTTTTTTAAGAGTAAAATAGTAAAGATACATTCATTAGAAAGTTACATGCCCAAAGGGATGGAGCTTTCTCCTTGAAAAGAAATAGGGAGACTCTGCTGAGAGGGGAATTCTATTTTTGGCCTCATTCTGTGCATGGACCTTGCAGCTGGCACCTGAACCAATGAGATAAAGCCACTGAGAGTTCAAAGTTTACTGGGTGGGTCTCATTCTGGTTCCTGATCTTTGAAACCATTCATGCTACACATGTGCCCGCTTTAAAACAAACAAACAAACAAACAAACAAACAAACAAAAATACTTTATTGTTATTCAACTGAAAGTTTACAGAGTAAATTGGTTTTTCATTCAACAATTCACAAACATTTTAATCTGTGATATTGATTATAATCCTCACAACATAACAGTACTCTTCCTACTTCCTCCCTGTATTTACTGTTTCTGTTTGTCCTTTGCTGCCTGAGCAAATGCTACCCTTTGATCTCACATGGTTGATTATTCTAAGGAGTGTATACTTCCCTGACACTATTGTTCATCTTACAGGCTTATTTATTGCCTGACTGAAAGCTGAGCCATTGGGCTGAGCTTGGTTCTAGGCTTGAGGAATGGTTACGGGCCATAGTCTTTGGAGTTCCCTCAATCTCTGAGATCAGCAAAGTGGTTATTTTCCTATGTTTATGATTTTAAGTTTCTCCCTCCTCCTATTAATCATCTTTCTCAGAGCAGTGGGCAGCTGTGGCCAGTCATCATCTAGCTCTTCTAGTCTCAGGTTTGTGGAGGATGGGATTTCTGTGGTCCATCTGTCCTTTGAACTAATTGTTTCCACACGTCTTTGACTTTGCTCTTCTTTGGTCTGAACAGAGAGAGACCAATAGTTGCACCTTAGATGGCTGTTCACAAGCTTTTAAGACTCCAGTTTTTACTCACCAAAATAGGATACAAAAGGGCATTGCATCTGTCCACTGTTTTGCTGATTAACGGTGGTGTCCTCTGAGACTATGGTCCTGGGTCCCCAAACCCAGTGATTCATTCTTTCAAGATGCTCTTATATGTCTGTTTTTATAACATTGCCCCTTCCATGCCCTAGTATATTCATGGACGTATTTAGAGCACACATAACACACACACACACACACACACACACACACACACACACACACACACTTTCTGTCAAATTTATTCATGGATGCAGTTCCACTCACCTTCCTGGTCCTGTTCAGCTTGGGTATATGCACTCATATACTATTATTATCATTGTTATTGCAAGTTTGTGTATATAACAGTATTTACTTTTGTTATCTTTGACTTATGTGCTCCTCCCAGTGTCTTCCTTTGCTTTCATCATTTGGCACTGGCCTCCCCTTTATTACATATTGTCTTTCCCTTTACCCAAGTTAATATGTATCTACACACTACTTAGTGATTTATTCTCCCTGCATCTGCCTTTCTTGTCTGCATTTAGTACTTGCATGTCTTTCCCCCTATTCTGCCAGGGGCATTTGCTTGCCTTGGGGAGGATAAGGATTATTACAGAGAAGTGCAAAGTGCAAGAATCAATGTTAAGCATTTGACATTTGAAACAGGACATTTAAGTCCACAGCAAGACTGTTGAAACCCAGACTTTGAACCAGAGGAAGTGTTTTCTGCATTTCTTAAGCTCCCTCTAATGCATCAAAAGCTGAGGGTCTTGGATGTTAGGCTTTTCTATAAGCCAGGGCTCTGATGCACAAGGGAAGTCAGAGAAGCAGGTAGTTTACAGTTCCAGGAAGGAAGCCAGAAGTCAGGGTCTTGAGTGCCACCTTCTTTCCTTGGGCTAGCATCCCAGGAGATAGAGCTGGTTAAAGACAGGGAGAAGGAAAGCTGAAAGCTAAGGAGGCTTATACATCATTCCTCATTTTGAGGATGCTTGGAGATGATTGTCCTGTAAGAGGGCAGAAGAGGTATGGCATAGTGAGAAAATCCTCCTTCGGCTTCTGTGAGGAATGGAGATGTCACAGTTGTAGGTTCAGAGCCACAGGCCTGCCCTGGGGTGTACAGTGAAGCAGCCCTGCATTTTAGGCTGTGGAACAGGGTGGACTGTCACAACCAGTGCAGTGCGGATGACGTTGATGAGAGTTGGGGGTGGAAGGACAGGTTTGGTTTGCTATGTGGGCCAACCAGTTCCTGGAGGGCTGATTTCTCACATGTGTCAGGGCAGAGCTGTGCACTATATGTTTTCAGTGTCCACCAGACATTTCTTCCAAGGTGCCCTGAACTGCCATCCTTTTGGTTAGCAGCTGAATGCATTAACCATTAGAATCAGTTTTGAGACTTCAGAGTGAGGACAGGGAGTATTTGAATGGGGGGGGGGATCATGTTTACTGAGCCTTATGTGGGCTGAGAGCAGGCTCTGGTTTACCAGCTGCTGACTTCAACAGTAGTGTCTGACAGGGTGTCCAGGAACCAGCAGATGTGCCCACTGCTGTGGAGATCAGAAAAGGCAACCAGAGCCTCTGTGCACTTGCACTTGTGGCCATCTGAGCTCCCATGGACACAAATACCATCTAGGGGAAATCCAGGGAGGAAATACTGCACATTTGGTAGTAGTGGCGGAAGGATCATTGTTATTTTATTTATTTTCTTTTTTTACCGAACATAAGTAAATGTTTAAACTTTACTGAACATTTCAGCTAAACCTTTTTAGACAATTATTCTGCCCATCTCTCTACGGCCTAGAAAGAATGCAAAACATTCAACTAGAAACATGGGTGTGAAACTGTGTACCCGCGAGGGTTGCCCCTTCCGACCACCGCACTAAGTGTTTTCTCTCATTTTCGTCAAGGCACAGTTCTGTTTTGGAAGGTTCTGCATGGTTCTGGGGGGCGCAGGCTATTCTCCCTCTGCGCCCACCTCTCTAGCTTCGATTCTGATGCAGGTTGCTCAGCACCCTGGCGGGCGGCGTCAGGAGAGCTCTGAAGACCACCAGCAGGCCCACCGCCATCTCGGAGGCCACACGGAGGCTCTGCTCCTTGGTCATCAGGTCAGGCCTACACCCTGCGGGGACGCCCGCTGCCTGACTGGTTCCCATCCCCTCCACGCGCCTGGGGCTGCCCTGCCACAAACACTGACAGTAGGGGCGGAGCGAGCATGGAGAGTGAGACCACACGTGCCAGAAGGAAAGTGCTGCACTGGGGAGGCCCAGAGGACTCTTTCAACTTGAAGAAGAAACAGAAATACCATTGACCGACAAGTGTAAATACTGCATCCCCAGCCATGGTCACTGCCATCTAGTGGAATGAGAGCTCATGAGAAAGATTACAGTGTTCTTGGGAGAAACTCTGGTGGCCTAGTGGCAAGGAGCTGCACTGCAAAGCCAAAGGCAGAAGGTTCAAGTACACCAGCGGATCCACGGGAGGAAAATGGGCAAAACCTGCCGGAGGCCCAACTATGGGTTAGTTCCCACTAGGTGGAACACAACAACAACATATATACATAAATCAACAGTTATATTAATTATTTTAGTCTGAACATCCTTACTGTGAACCTATCTTTGGAGGCTTGTATGCTGCTGTGATGCTGAACAGGTTTCAGCAGAGCTTCTAGTCCAAGCTGAACAAAGGGCTGGTGATCTCCTTAAGGGAGTCATGGAGGACTGGGCGGTGTTCTGTGATGTTGGGCATGAGATCACCATGGGTGATACAGTTGGAGAGTCTTCAAGGCAGTCAATAGCAACAGTGTTGAAGCTAAATTTACCACATCACTGCCTGTTAGGCTAGCTACTATTCCAAAAGGAAATAAAAGAAGCCCAATCAGTAAACCAAGATTGTAAAAGTATCAGAAGCAAAAATAGTGCAGTTTGGGGGAAGTTACAGGAGACAATGACCATACTAGAAACCACAACTTAAAAGGAAATATTACAATCCATTGAGAGATACCTCTTCTCCCTAAGTTTCTTGGCAACAGAAAAAAGAGTAGAAAGATAAAAGATCATGAAGATTTTATTTTCTAATAAAGAGAAGAAATACCATGCTGACAAAAGATTTAAAAAAATGTTTTTCAAATACTGATTAGGAGGGTACTCTGTCCTAAGAGCATTTATAGAGACCATTATAAAATAGCGTTTAAGAGGAATTCTATAGGAAAGTCAAGGTCATGTCTCACGAAGGATTTTTAAATACATATAAAACTTTAATATATGAAGTAATAAATTAGAATTTTAATGTCAGTCTGAGGTTCTATAAAGGCTTTTGTGTAAACACCTAAAATAATACAGTTCAGGAATGTATTTTTCTGAGATAAAATTGACAGACTATAGATAGTGCACTATGCAATATGCTATCCGTCAGCTATATTTGGTTTCTTAAATGAAAGTTAACTAACCAAAAGAAATATATTTTAAAGATAAATTCCTCAATTATACTGCCACAGAGTTCTCTCTCTCTCCCTCTCTCTCTCTCTCTCTCCTGCATCCTGAAAGGATCTATGGCCATAGATCTTGGAAGGAGTTAAGTAACGTTCTTCCTCTTGTCACCGCTAGAGCTAAATCTGGTGACTTCTCTATATGGGGTCAGTGAGCTGGCTTCTCTCTGCCCACTTTGCTTATTGTAAACTGATGGCATCACAATGACATTGATTGCTTATGGAAAATTCATAGGCACCAGCAAGTTCTTTGATATCTTTCTTTTTGGAGGCTTATTCTTTACCACTACTTTTTAAAAATTAAAGTGTCAAGTTTTTATCATGAATTGACTAAAAAGTTACAGAGTAGAGTTTTCTGTTTAACCATTCATGCACATTTTGTTTTATGACATGAATTATATTCTACATGTTGTAAGCATATTCTTCCTGCTTCATCCCTATGATTCTCATCTCCATTCATCCTTCTACCACTTCCTGCCTTCTGTGTTTTCTCCCTGAGCAAATGCTGCCCTCTTGAACTTGTGAGTATCTCTCTGGTGTTATTGGTTACCTGTAAATATGACTATTATTTCCCTGGATGGTAAGATATAGGACATTGTCTTTGTGTTCTTGATGTCCTGAGACACAATGGTTCTGAGGCTGTAGAACCAGCAAGTCATTCCCTCAGTGTGTTTGATTACAATTAAGAAATTTATATAACTTTAACCACCTGTTGGCTCTATTATACACATAGATATATTTGCAATATATATACAAATATATATTAGAAATATTGATTGACAAACCTACATAAGGCCATGGATATAGTCCTTCTTCCTGTCCATATCTATTTGCTAGGCCTGTCTACCTACATGTCTACTTGCAGATTAGTGTCTGTCTTTACCAATCATGTAGGATTAGTTCATCATCCTTTTATATTGAAAGTTTTCTTTAAAAAATGTTTGTTGTTACTTAACTGTAGATTCTGCTCCAACTCATTCTGATCCCATGAACAACAAAATGAAACATTGCCTGGTTCTGTGCCATCTTCATGATTGTTGGTATGTTAAAGTCTACAGTTTTAGCTACTGTCGGAATCAACTTGGTGGCAATGAATTTGACCTTTTTGGTTTTTCCATCCTATAGCTGATGACTGGCTGTTAGGGACCTCTCCAAAGTGCTGAAGAGCAGTGGTGTCTCTCTGGAGACTAAGGTGCGTCTGATACAGGCCATGGTCTTCGCAATCACCTGTTATGCATCCGAGAGTTGGACAATGACCAAGGAGGATAGAAGGAGAACTGATGCCTTTGAGCTGTGGTGCTGGAGAAGAGTACTGAGAATACCATGGACTGCTAGGAAAACAAATAGATTTGTCCTGGAGAGGGTTAAACCGGGTGGCTCCTTGGAGGCAAGGATTCTGAGGCTCCGTCTAACTTACTTCGGACATGTAGTGAGGAGAGACCAGTCCTTGGAGAGGGACATCATGCTTGGGAGGGTGGAGGGACGGCGCAGGAGAGGAAGGCCCTCTATGAGGTGGATTGATTCAGTGACTGGGATAATTGGGATGGGAGTGTTAGAGACAGTGTGATTGGCACAGGACAGAGCGGAGTTTAGGGCTGTTGTACATAGGGTCGCTATGAGTCACAGGCGACTCGATGGCATGTAACAACAACAACAATAACAACATAGCTGATGACCTCCTCCATAGGAAAGTTCTCTGGTATAGACCATACCTCCCTGGTGTACCTCCCTGGTGGTTCAAATCTACCAGTGGCAGAAAGATAGGCAGTCTACTCCTGTGCAATGTACTACTTTGGAAATCTATTGGAAGGCCAGCTATGAGTCAGTTCAGACTTGACAACAATAAGAGTTTTAAGAGGATTCCTCATCCTGTGCTCTATTGGACAGTATTCTGTTATGATCTACAAGGTTCTCATTGGTTAATTTCTGGAAGTTGATTTCTAGGCCTTTCTTCCTAGTCTATCTTAATCTTGAAGCACCGCTGAAAGTTATTCACCATATGTGATCTTGCTGGTATTTGAAATACCAGTGGTAGAGTTGCCAGGACCCCAGCAACACACAACCATTACCTGATAGATGAATGATGCAAGTTTATAGCTTTAAATAATACTAGTGGGGCTATTCAGATAGTCTGAGAAACAGGTTTCTCTCAGTCATTTCTCGAGCAGAATTGGAAAAACTTCTTTTTCCTTCTTCAAAGTGGAATCAGAGCTCAGTCAGAGGGCCTCCAGGGAATGCTAGGAATTTGGTGACTGGCAGTGAGGCCAGGACAGTCTATCAGTATTCTTCCATGGTCAGAATGAACTTGGCCCTGGCAGAGTGGGGTGGATAACTGTCTTAGAAGTCCCTAGCTGATCGGGCTATTGGTTCTTAGAGTATTTCCAGCAACATCAGTATCATCTGACCTATAAGCTTTTGGTTGCTGTGAGTCTGAACACTGTGACACTGGTGTGTCGAATGCGTTAATGATTGGCTACCCAATGCGGACAGAGAGTGGAGTGGAGCTCCCCGATTAAAACAAGGAGTGGCATCCACTTCCATAATAGGTTGCCTCTGGAAACCCTATGAACCTGGAGAAAAGATGAAAGGCACCCAAGCGCCGAGGACTCTCCTTCACAGGGTCACTATACGCTTATAGGGAATGAAAATTCTCTCATCCTCTCTTAGTTATCTAATGCCATTGTAATAGAGACACTACAAAGGTATGGTTTTAACAAACAGAAGTGTATTCTCTTACAGTTTAGGAGGCTGGAAGTCTAAATTCAAGGTGCCAGCTTTACGGGAAAGCCTCCCTGTGTCTGTGGGTTCTAGAGGAAGGTCCTTGTTTCTTCAGCATCTGTTGACCAGCTATTCCCTGACCTTTCCTGGTATCAAGGAGCTTCCTAGTGCAGGCACCAAACCTGAATCTAAAAGGACACACTCCACTCTTGGTGATTCTTTCTTGTATTATGAAGGTCCTTACTCTCCTCCCCTCATTGTACTTTCTTGTGAGATAAAAGGTGTTACTGGCCAAACTCTAGAGAAACTTCTCTTATGTCAGATCAGAGGTGTGTTGGGATTAAGGGACATTACATTTTAATGGGTACTGGCAGCTGTTTGCTTTATTGGTTATGGGGAACCATTACAGAACTTCCAAATTGTGTCATTATATCCATTTGTGTAATGGGGACACAATTCAATCCATGGAACACTCCAACTTCTTGAATCAGAATATCTGTGAGAGAGGGAGAGAAAAGACTACAGGCAGTTCTTAACAGTAGTTTAAAAATTTGTAGTCAAATTGAAATGAGGCATATAGTTCTGATTTGTTTACTCTAGTGTGAGAAAAGTTCACTAAATATTTGAGTAGGGGTTGATTCAACAATTTTTAAAGTGAAGGTATATTTTTATCACATTTAAAGGCAAATATTATTTAAAAGCTCTTGTTGTTATTATAAAAAAGGCTTGTTGTTTTGTGCCTTCAAGTTGACTCCGACTCATAACAATCTTATGTACAACAGCTCTGAACCCTGCTCTATCCTGAGCCAAACTCATTGTCTCT